AAAAAAAATCAATAAGAGACAAGTTGATTTTACTGTACTGCATGCCAGAATTTCACGGCTTATGCGGCCAATTCTACTATTCATCAATACTGGCTTGTCTGTAAGTAAAATTATTATGAAACCGAGCAACAGCAGAGGTTGCCAGTGGCAAGTGGAAATTAAAGTTTCACAATTCTTCATTTGAAACTGAGTTTCAGATTGCTTGCTTGATTTTTGCTTAATATAGCAACTAATGAGCAATACTTTAGAATATTAAACTGGCCAATAGCACCAAACAAAAGTTTACTCTCCCACTCTACAACAAAGCCTGGGGCAAAGTGCAAATTGTGAGGAAATCATTGCACATAGAGCAGCTTAGAAAAAATAGTGAGAAAACTAATTTCAAAATGTAAAAAAATATATAGAATTTCAGATCCCAATCTTGTACCAGTGTACATATGACTGTACCATCTATGGAAACGTCCTCTCCCCCAGGTGCATGCTCTGTACAGACCAAAGCATTAGCTGGGAAAATCTAATTAAAGGACCAGGATCCAATCACTCCCATGCTCCCACGACTGAGTGCTTTGTGCATACCTGGCAATATTCACCACATGATCTGCCTTTTTAGTGCGAGGATTGATTCCTTGGAGCAGCTGCTCTAGTGGGGTGACAATAAGGGAAAGGTGGCTCTCCCTCAAGAGATCCATGAAAAGACTCTCCTGCTGTAAAGCGAAGTTGAGAAGTCCAAGGCAATACTCCACAGCTTTCTCCAGATGCTTCTTCCCTGCAGTGCACAAAGAACCATACAAAAAGCATAAGAGCAGTTAAGTAACAAATGGGCTATATTCATAAACCTCATTCACCGAGTCTTGCAGCAAGACAGAAATTGTCAGTTGTTTACTTCAAGGAATTTCCCCAAAAAACTCGTTTTTATATGCAAGACAAACAAGAACTAGCTGAACACCTGTAATATCAACTAGAATTCCTAACTACGATGCACTTAAACTTAACATGAAAAATAAACTCAGGGCACATACCAGGAAATGGAGCGTAAGTATCAAGCTGCTTCACCCCCTCTTCTAGCAAACTGAGGGACAGCTCCAGCATCGGTGATTCGTTCAGCAGATGATACATCAAGTTGAACCCAGGTGGCTTATACGCTACTACTTCTTCTCCTAAACAGAGAACAAAAAACTACTAGCTAATAGAAGACTTCCATTACTTAAGCCAGTAACACTCTCTTGTTGCTGCATGCAACATCTCAACTGATGAAACTGCATACAAGATCTTCAGAATTTTTCCTTAGCTATAAGACATTTGGGCATCTAATAAGAATTTGGTGAGAACGGTAGTGTCAATTATCATTCCTCTCCAAAATTTAATAGCAGGATTTCAATTTTAACCAGTTAGAGTCTCCCTAAGATATGATTATGAATTCAAATCAATGATGGGCTTTAGATGAGGGCGAGAATTAGCAGCTACCAGACATTGCTCAAGTTAGTTTAAGTGCCAATTTTTTTTGTTGAAGTAACAGCAGAGAGAACCTTACAAGACTGGGCCAAGGTCACTGGGAAGTTACGTTTTCAAGTGGCTGTTCACTTGAGAAGTGCCTATAGTGGCTCTCATGCTATGGCACAAGCATCAGACTGCCTTTCACTGCTAAGAAGAAACTTCACACTACAGAAAAAAAATTGCAGCACAAGTGGAGTTTATATGAGCCTTAACCTCCCTACAGTGAGGCAAGTGTCATCTACTTTGGCCTTTTAAAGATCAGTTGTCTAGAACTGAGTGACTTCAGAATCATAATCCCACTGCCACTATCTGCTCTAACTAAGGTCTGAATATTGTTAATACCAAAGGATATATTAAATACACTAACACCTGTAAGTTAACACTATGAGTA